CCGCATGGCCGGTCGGTGCTCCTCTTCCCTTTCGATCCGTCTCGCCGGCTGGTCGGAATCAACGTATAAACTTGCTTGTCGGCGACGAGCGTCGACTCGCCTCGCGTTATCGTCGTTGGTAATGAAAAGAGAGATCCGGACGAACGCGATCGGGAAAAGTAAAACGCCGGTGGAATCGTGCCGGCAATGGACGCGTCCAGGATCGCGAGAGAGACCGGATGCACTATGGCGGCCGCGCGCTTGTCAGAGCGCTGGAGCTCGATGATCACGAGTTGTTCATCGCCGGAGAAGATTTCCAGACGCGACGTCTCGATCCTCGCGCGTTCTCAATTCGGTTCGTGGAGACAGATCGCGACATTCACGACATACGCGAACGGGACGAAGCCGAGAACCGGAAGCACGAGGTTAAAGTTCTCTTTCGCGAGTCCACAGCCTGGAGGCCGTGTGCAACACGACGACCTTGTATGTCGGCCTCCGGAATGTACAGGATCGATTCCAGACTATCGAAACGATCACGGGAATTTTTCGTGAATGTTGCCGGGAGGTATTAACGGTTCGCAATCGTAGCATCACAAAATTCCTCGTTTGTTTTATAGTCTAGAAAAAACGGTGAGGATAAGAATCGCGTTAAAATAAAATGCCGATCGTAAAAATAAAGTTACATATATTGGGATGTAATATCAGATCTCGTCGTTGGAGATAATCGCAATCTGGTAAAAAACTGGGCGGTATCTCGACTCGCCGTTTCGAGCAACGAACGTTTCCGGAAAGCAGTCTCGCGATATTAACTATTCGTCATTCGTTGCGAAAACGCAGGGGAAATCCGGGTATCTATATGATAATAATAATCAATTTCGTAAGAATCGTGGAATTTAATCTCTTTCTGGAAAGTTACCGGCAGTTCGCATCTGAAAACTCGATCGCGTACCCATAATTTTCCATACATATTTCGAGCTGCGAAGTATGCAACATATTTGGCCACCTGATCGGCGTGAATCATTAAAAATTGGCCGAATGGCCGCCACGAGTCCCGCGATTTCGTCAAAGGGCCGCGAACAACGGCACGCTCGGTCCATTTGGATGATGGAGAATCTCGCGAAAAGAATCTGTAATAACGTGGCATCGCGTCACGATGCCGAGCGTCGCGAAAATTGTGGCAACAGCGCGCCGCTCCTCGTCATTTACAAAATGGCTGCCGGCTGCCATTCTCGAATGTTCACATTCGGCCACGTGGACGGCGGACAAAGACATCATCGAAAAATCGAATTTAATATTCCGATCGAGTATTCGCGCATTTAGCACGCGTTCAAGGACAATTGCACCATGTTGTGCAATATTGAGTTGGATGACGTTTGTCGCGTATCGAGCAAGATGTTTCTAAAATATGAATTGTCGGATAGTTTCTGATATTAAGAAAATTGTTGCATATTATCCTCTTGAATCTTTGTTGATTGGTATATCTTTATTTAATCCATTTATTTTTATTTTCTCAGTGTAAAATCGTGTACAGGAAAGCTGATATTGCCTAAAACTACAAAATGGGTAAAGAGAAGATTCATATTAATATTGTCGTCATTGGACATGTCGATTCTGGCAAATCCACTACGACTGGCCATCTGATTTACAAATGCGGTGGTATTGACAAGCGTACCATTGAGAAGTTTGAGAAGGAAGCCCAGGAGGTAAATAACTTTTCTAAAATGTAAAAGCGTGCTGTATAATATCTTACATAATAATGTTGTGAGTGCATAATGCATTATGACGTAGCATCTTTTCTCTTATTCGTAATTTTGATTAAGAGGTTATCGTCAACTCTATTGATAGTAGAAAATGTTATTTCATCTAAAAATCTTATTCAACATAAAAATCATTAGTTATCTTTATTACACATCTGTGTAATAAAGATAACTAATAAAAGGACACAAGAAAAATTTGAAATAAAAAAAGTGATTGTTTTTTTTTTTTTAGATGGGCAAAGGTTCCTTCAAATACGCTTGGGTATTGGATAAACTGAAAGCCGAGCGTGAACGTGGTATTACGATCGATATCGCCTTGTGGAAGTTTGAAACATCCAAATACTATGTCACCATCATCGACGCTCCTGGACACAGAGATTTTATTAAGAACATGATCACGGGTACCTCGCAAGCTGATTGCGCTGTACTAATTGTCGCCGCTGGTACTGGCGAGTTCGAGGCAGGTATCTCGAAGAATGGACAGACCCGTGAGCACGCCTTGCTCGCCTTTACCCTCGGTGTCAAGCAACTGATCGTCGGAGTCAACAAGATGGATTCCACCGAGCCTCCGTACTCCGAGACCCGATTCGAGGAAATCAAGAAGGAAGTATCGTCGTACATCAAAAAGATCGGCTACAATCCAGCCGCAGTCGCGTTTGTTCCCATTTCCGGCTGGCATGGAGACAACATGCTGGAGTCATCCTCCAAGATGCCCTGGTTCAAAGGATGGGCTGTGGAGCGCAAGGAAGGCAAAGCCGACGGCAAATGCCTTATTGAAGCCCTCGATGCTATCCTGCCACCCACCAGGCCGACCGACAAGGCCCTTCGTCTTCCCCTTCAGGTAACTTCGATATTTTGATCACGATTCTCAATTTTTTAGCATGAATAATTTTATATGATGATATTTTTATAATCTCATTCGCGGTTTCCACCGGAGGATTCTCGATCCATTGATGGTTCAGAGTGTCTGATTCTACAAGATATTATCTATAAAATCACTAATTTTGCTGAATCGGACTAATAATGTTTTCTTATAATTGCAGGACGTGTACAAGATTGGTGGTATCGGAACAGTACCCGTCGGTCGTGTCGAGACTGGTGTGCTGAAACCCGGTATGGTTGTTACCTTTGCACCTGTTGGTCTGACCACTGAAGTTAAGTCCGTTGAAATGCATCACGAAGCCCTTCAAGAGGCTGTGCCTGGTGACAACGTTGGTTTCAACGTTAAGAACGTGTCTGTTAAAGAATTGCGTCGTGGATATGTTGCGGGAGATTCCAAGAACAACCCGCCCAAAGGTGCCGCTGACTTCACTGCACAGGTATGTCTAATGAATTTAATTATGCTCTTTTTACTACTCCCTATTATTGACACTATGATGAAAACATATATATCTCATTCGCGGTTTCCACCGGAAGATTTATTCTAATGATGGCCGAGTACGTCTGAGTGTCTTAACTTTAAAAATGTATTAATTTAAAACATAAAATATATGAATTATGAACATATAATTAACATAATTATTTATTTTGCAGGTCATCGTGCTCAATCACCCCGGTCAGATTAGTAACGGATACACGCCTGTGTTGGATTGCCACACCGCTCACATTGCCTGCAAGTTCGCCGAGATTAAGGAGAAGTGCGATCGCCGTACCGGTAAGACTACCGAAGAAAATCCGAAAGCTATCAAGTCTGGTGATGCCGCCATCGTCACCCTGGTTCCTAGCAAGCCCATGTGCGTCGAGGCTTTCCAGGAATTCCCGCCTCTGGGACGTTTCGCGGTCCGTGACATGCGTCAGACGGTAGCCGTCGGTGTCATCAAGGCCGTCACCTTTAAGGATCAAACTGGCAAAGTCACCAAGGCCGCCGAGAAAGCCCAGAAGAAGAAATAACTACTGTAATAGTTTCCGTGCATATACCGATAGTTTCCGTGCGAATATGCCGCTGGGTGGACGTCGGAGTACATCAGCCGACGTAGCTCGCCCTCTCTTCTCGTGCGATTCGTGCGAGATGAATGTTATAACATCATCGCTAGCTGAATCCATGCAACTACCAGCTACCAAGAATGAGAAAACTACAATCCAATCGCAAAGATCGGTCCTTCGCGTGTGCGAAGTCGCGCGGCTGCCGCGCTTCCTCGGCACGCGGACATTTCGTTTGTCGAAACGGTTACTCCGTCACTTTTTCCACCGCAAAGAATTTCGCAGGAAAGGAAACGCCGTGGTCGACAGAATATATACCGGGTCAGCGACGATGCGCTTTTATCTCGCTGGAATCACATTCAAGGAGGGAGAGCGGACATCGCGCGAGCTATCTAATAACTTCATAACGAACATCAACATCATAATTTAGCGCGGCTTAATTATATTTTCTAATTATGCGGAAATAAAATTCTGTATATCCGATACTCGAGAAGAATGTCATTAATTTACGTCGACATTGTCACTCGATTAACATCGAGTTACGTTTGTCATCCTTTTTGAAGAAAACTCCTCATTTATCGCTCTAACATCTATGGTAGCTATACGATCCGATCAGAGATTAAAATATATCGCGGCGATACTTCGTATATTCTTTTGTCTTCTTGGTAGCTTTTTATATATTAATCACGTTCAGAGAGAGACTATGTATTAATTCAGGAAACTAAAGAGACAACGGCAATAGGCCTTGGCAAAAGTAGATTTCGTTGTTGGGATATGGGACCTGTTGTTTCTTCTAATAATTATCTTTCTATTATATATGCAATTATATAGATAAGGTAAATCCAAGTTCTTTGGAAACACTTTTTCTACGAGATATTTCTTTTATCGACTAACGTCAACAAGTGCGTGCACAAAAGATATGACTTTTGCAATAACTCGGCATCTTTTATCCCGCGATTCTTCTACAAATTACATTGGTTATAACAGTTTTCTGTACATGTACATATAAATACCAATGATGACGAGTAAGAGCGAAAATAAAAAAAGCTACGGAAACGAGATGCCGGTGATTCATTATCACCAGTATGCAGCCCGATTCCTCATTTTCCTTGTAACTTATTTAAATATGTTACATAGGCATTTTCACATAAAGATTCCAATTAAAACGCTGTATTATTCAATAAATGCATTAAATACGCAATCTTAATTTATTTGTTACGAGAATTATAAGACCATATATCACGAAGTATTTTAAATTACGAGAGATTATGGACAAATTAGTAATGTATAATAAAAATTGTTTTGGCAAAATTACGTAGATTTGGACCAGTTGTAACTGAACAGACCGTATATAGAATGTAGGAAACAAATGTGTAAGGAAGGAAAACACTGGATATGAACGAAGATGTTATTGATGCGAGAAATACATGAAAAAAGGAAAGTATTTCAAGACTATCAAAATAAATATGAATCAGCATTCTCACATCCGGTATAACGTGCAGACATCATTATTAAAAAAAATGTATTCAATATGGCGTAGCCAATCGAATTTTATTACTTCAAATACGTATTTATAGACAATGTAGTGTGATTCATACTGCAATTATGTTAAATCGCTCGCGCGTAACCGCATGACAAGTATTTTTTATTCGCAAAACAAGGAACATTGAGCGTTTGACAGTAACCGATCAGCTGATTTGTAACTCGAAAATATTTTACTGAGAACCCGAATCTTATTTATATAATTATAATGAGGATTCGAATTCTTGTAGCATACGAAAGAGATTAAAACAAGATAAAGAATAAAATAACGCATTATACAAAATATTAAATTAATGAGATATACATAGCTTTAAATTTAATTTTTTTTTTCATAGTTATAATGCACGAATATTTGCACACGCACAATATGTCCGATTCGAAAATACCTAAATCGAAAGTGTAAGACACATTGAATGATGTCGCTTTTATATATTCAGGAGGGAAAAGGAGATAAAAAAGTTAATTGATAAAAAATGCAGGAGATGCACCTAAAAATAATGGCTCTTCTAATAACGTTACATGTGCAATGTGCACTTCACATACACTCCACTTCAGTTGCCATTAAACCTATTTAAATGCGCTATGTGTGGAGAGGTTAGGGACTGTTTACTTGTCAAATTTGCAATGTCGGGGGTAAACGTAGGCGAAACATGAGAGAGATTTGAGGAGACGTAACGAGACGTTCTCGCGGAAATCATGTTTTTCCCCGTAGGATGGCCGCGGGTTCTGAATTCTAACGAGCCAAGTGAAATAAACGCCGTGGTGTGCAACAGAGACAAAATTCTCTTTGCCGTTCTCACTACGGATGCTCTTACCATCTGGTACTGCAAGGTATGTATTTTAGGTCAAAAGAAATCTCTTTACTCAACCTAGGAACCTTCCGATTTAATTTTAGAATGATTCATTCTTTACTGAAATCAACTTTACTAATATCATATTATTACAACTCTATAGTTGGTATATACACACACTTGTTAAAATTACAACTTCTGTATACAAGTATACTCTTTGTCATAAATAATATATTTACCATAATAGCGATAATAATAATATTCTTTATCTGAGATTATGTTTTTAAGTTTAATAATCTTCTATAATTTTTTTCACATTCTTTACAATTAAATTTTCTATATATTGTTAAATTACACATAATTTTTTGTGGATGTGTTTTAGTAAGTAATAATTTATAAAACACAATTTGTGTTATAGCCTTGTGTACCAATTGTATTTAGCAGACGATCTGCAGTTTCCTTACGAAAGCACGGTGAGAATGTTTTGTTACAATGGAGACCAGACTCAAGTATGCTGGTCATTGCAACATCAGACAGTTATCTGTTATTCTACCGGCTCTCGGACAGCAGTCCAGAGGGCCGGGGACTTTACGAACAACGAGATTCACCAGTCACCAGCCTGAAACGAGATAGCGCAGAATTATTTATTAAAGAAGTCATTCCCTCTCTTGTCTTGAGTTTTGTACGTTTGCTGATGATTTATCATCTTGTTAAGTATATACATATAATGAGAAGTTTTAAATAAAAATTAATTATTAGTTACAAGACTGATTAAATCATTAAGTTCATTTATATTATATGAACTAATTACATTTTCATCTGTTTATAGGAAAAGTCAGCTTGGATTGATGGCGGAATCAGTTCATTAGTTTGTATACGAGATGAGCTCATGGTAGCGACCAAAACTAGCCATGTGGTGCGTCACAAATGGGATGGTACCATGAATCGCGATTATTCTTTGGATTTGAGACGTATACCATTCAGTATTGATCAACAAATCTCTACTGTGGCTGTGCCACTCACAGAGAGCAATATCTATGTCACTGATATTGAATATTCGCCTCTTGTTGGAGGCTTTGCCATTGTGCTTAGTAATGGTAAAGCTGCATTTCTCACTGCTCAATCTTTGAAGTTTGATCCTAACCAAGTGCAAGGAATCTGGGCTCGAGATTTGGACGATGCTACTTGTGCTGCTGTTAATCATAAATATCGGCTAATTGCTATTGGTAGGCAAAAGTAAGTGTTATTTTTACAATGTTGTTTTTAGTAATTTAGTAAATGTATTTATAAATGTGTTATATAATTAGAAGAAAAACATATATTTTTTATTAATGATATATGTGTTATAAATAATTGTTTAATTAATATATTTAACATAAATATAATTAATATATAACTCTAACGTTTATACATTTGATTTGCAGCTCTGAAGGCATTGTTTATTATGTTGATGAAACAACAGGAGGTTTAGAAATGTCACACACTCTGAGCCTATCTTCCAAAGATTATCCAGGTCGACCAGGTAGCGTCAAGTGTCTCAGATGGACGCCCGACAGTTGCGCTATTGCGCTAGCGTGGGAAGGCGGTGGCTTGGCACTCTGGAGTACCTTTGGTGCTCTGTTGCTTTGTAGTTTAAAGTGGGATTATGGCCTACGAGTGGATCTGATGCATGATAATCCTCTGCATATCCATACGATGGAATGGTCGGCAGAGGGTTATCAGTTGTGGATGTTACGAGAATCTCCAGGACCTTCAGTTACCGAAGAAAACGGTAACGAAACGTCCAGTTTAAATCGCTCTCTCATCCAATTGGATTTCGCTAAAAGTCCTCTGACTATTAACCCGTGCATGGGCCACCACGGACATCTGTACCTTCAAGGCGAGGACAGACTGTATTTAAATTTAGGCGCCGGATTATCCTCGACGGCTTCGGGTTTTCATCTTGCCACTGAAATGCCCAATGATAGTATGCTTCAGACACTCGCCGGCTGCAAACAATGGCTCGTTGTACCCATTCCAACTGCATATAGTGGTTCTAATTGGCCAATTCGGGTAAATATAATAATAATACAATTGTGAAGAGCAACCAACTTTTTGTAATATATAAATTATTGGTTTTCATATTATTTAATTTTACTAGTTGATACGATCTCTTGTTAATCGTATAGCATTATCAATAATTTGAGCATTATTAACTATATTAATGAAAAAAATTTTTTAATGTTTTCTCTTTTTTATCTCTTATATTATATCAAATATTTATATGTGTATACATGTTTATTTTTATATGTGTGTGTGTAACAGTATACTGCAATAGACAGTGAAGGTTTGAGCCTTGCGGTGGCTGGTCGAACGGGATTAGCGCATTATTCCCTACCCTCGAGAAAATGGAAATTGTTCGGCAACGAGAGCCAAGAGAGGGATTTCATAGTGACTGGTGGATTGCTGTGGCATAAAGGATACCTCATAGCTAGCAGTTATTCCATCTTGGATGATAAAGACGAGATTAGAATTTATCCGCGCGATACTCGACTTGATAATAATTATGTCAAAAACGTTAGGATGCCCTCGCAGGTGTTACTATTGAATACAATGAAAGACAGACTTTTAACATTCTGTTCCAATGCTCAGATTAGCATATATGATATGGAGTTGCAAAATGGCGTCGGTAAGTGATAGAATTAGTTGATGAGATTGCTTTCGAGAAGAATTTTAGTTAATCTGTATTTATATTAAATGAAATGGCTATGCTATTATATATTTTAGAAGCTGGCAGTATCGAACTAACGAGAATACAGATGGTGGATATCAGTGGATTGTGTATACATCCTGCTTGCGTGGTCAGCGCCACGTTGACTACGATTCGCGCAGAGACTGCTGGTAGTCATCCTCATCCCGAGAGCCTCCTGCTAAACGTCTCCGGACGTCTTTTTATGGTTCAACGTGAACATTGTACTGACAACTCGGACGTTCGATTTACGTGCGGCGCTCCAACAGTATTAGCGTCATACGTCGAGAATGTTTGGGTGCCTTTGCGTTCAAGGAGAGATAAGCCGCATTTAACCGAAGCTTTGTGGTTATTTTGTGGGGCACACGGCATGCGAGTTTGGTTGCCGCTGTTCCGTAATCATCAAGAGAAGGCACATGCCTTTATGAGCAAACGGATAATGCTGCCTTTTCACTTGCGTATTTACCCACTAGCGATACTTTTTGAGGATGCGATTTTACTTGGAGCCGAAAACGATACTGTACTGTTTACATCGGATACTAACTCGCCTTTTTCACTGCCCTTCAATTTATTGGAACTTACGGTATTATTCTTTTTTTTACTTTTTCAATTCTAGATATACAAATATACAAAATTGACACATAACACACAGAAATTTAATCTCATATATTACCCTCTTACTGGAATTATTACACATTTTGTTTTAAAGAATTATTTGGAAATGTTTACTCTAAGATTTACGAAACAAGTTTCTAAAATATAAAAATTTAAAGTTATTCTCTTTATTGCCATCTTTATTAACTGTATTCCACTCAAAGATAATGATTGTTATTTCAGAGTCAAGTATATCTGCATCAGATTCTGCGTCAGTTGATACATCGAAACTTGGGCTATCACGCGTGGGAGATAGCACGTTCGTGTTCCGCGTTGCCGTATTTCCCGCATTCGTTAGAACTGTTGCTTCACGAGGTCCTCGAGGAGGAAGCGACGAGTAAAGATCCTATTCCGGATGCTCAATTGCCGTCCGTCGTAGAGTTTATTCGCGAGTTTCCCGGCGTTTGGGCCAGAGCAGTCGTACAATGCGCTCGCAAAACTGAAATCGCGCTTTGGCCGTATCTGTTTTCCGTCGCCGGCCCACCAAAGCAGCTATTACAAGATTGTCTGGAGCGTCAAGAGCTAGATACTGCTGCTAGCTACTTGATCATTTTACAAAATTTAGAACCATCTTCCGTCAGCAGGCAGCACGCCACGTTATTGTTAGATGCCGCGTTAGAGCAAGGTAGATGGGAATTGTCGAGAGATCTTGTGAGATTCCTTAGAGCAATCGGTAAATAATCTTATAGATTTTTATAAATATAAACTATTGTATATACACACAATCTATTATAGATTAATCTTTTATTGTTTAGATCCGAATGACGTAGAGTCTCCACGTACATCGTGGGGTGGCAGTGCGAAACTGGTTGGTCCTCCCCAAACACCTCCTCTTTCTCCACACGAGGACGATCTGTCCTTGGTCTTGGGTACTATGCAAGTTTCGAGGAGCCGCAGTTACAGTACTACAGTTACGCCTAAAGTGCAATCCGAGAAAGATGTTGCACCATCGTCTATGCTTGAAAAAACTCGGAATGTTGTTATGAGACGAAAGAAATCAGTTCCAACAGTGAAAATTAGCGAAAAAACTGAGAACAAGTAAATATTATTTTTTTCAATACTTTACATTTGAAGACAAATGTTATCTCGAAGTTGTACAAATAATATTTAAGGTACCCAGAATCAAAACTTAAAATTGAAAACAAAAATATATTTAAAGTATATCTTAACAATTTCTTCAAAATATAAAGTTTCTATTCTAGATGGCTCATTTATATAGCATCATTTTATCAACAATTTTTTTTCTGTGATTATATTTTTATTTTTTATTTAACTAATCTTGTATATTTTTATTGCTCATAATTAAATATATAAATTATTCTTTATATTAATATTATCTTAATATTAATATTTCGTTAATCTAAGAAAATAATCATATATTTGGTTTAAATTCTGATCGAAAATATTTTTTGTTGTCAATAAAATAAAATTAAATTAATATTTTTTCGTTCCAGGGAAGGATCGGCAGAGGAGTTCTTTATTGACGTTATTTTACAACGTCATGCTCGGCGGCTGCTTTCAGCTCGCCGCTTGACTGATTTAGGTAGATTCGCGGCCCGTCTCGACTTCCATCTAGTGACATGGTTCGCTCGAGAGCGTGACAGAGCAGCGAGAATCGACGATTACGTAGGCACTTTAAAAGCGGTTCACGAAGATTTTGCGTTTCCATACCCAACACTTTCGTTGCCGACGTTGCAAAAATTTCGAAGATCTAGCCTCACCTCTCTACACTCTGTAATCTCCGATGACGAGACCTTGTCCCCGAACTTGGCCATTGATTTACCTGACAGTGGATACACAAGTCTTCCAAGTGGTAGGCCACCGTATACAACGCTGGTTTCGCCTGTCGCTAGCTTAGAGACGCAGTTTCCAACTGCGGAAGCTAAATTAACGCCAAATCTGATAAATGGTAAGAGTTGTATTCTTTGTTTTTTAATTTAAACAAGTTTCTGTTTGCACAAATTTTTTTGTAAAGCTGCAAATTTTTATATTTTGTCAAATGGCGGAAAGAGTTTTTGAGTATGGATATATGTTGATTTAAATATATAAATTTTTGTCTTGTGTAATTGTGATTGTATGAATTTGTATGAATTGAATTTTTCCCAGATGCCAACAGCGTTCTTAGCGATACTAGTACGATATGGAGAGATGACGCAGAATCTGTTGTTGCCTCTGTATGTTGGGTTTCGCCGGAATCAGTAGGATCTACAGAACTCAATACGATTGCATCAACTTCCGCGCCAATTGGTCGGGCGGAAGTACAACTCAGGTACTAATACACATATATTTTTTAACGTTAATGTTAAGAATGTCCAAAATTTGTCATTTTAGGTATTATAACTGCGTGCCTCATATATGTTTATTTTTAAATTTTTGCAGGTATTTATTGCAACTGTTTCTCGAAGGCAGTTGTTTAGGATGGGCTGCAGTAGTAGCTACCGTCCTTCGAGACGCGGCGGCTATGGCTAGAACCGTCAGGACAGCGCATGCACCAATGCAAACTTTTGACTCTATAATTAATCTAAGAGATGGATTGCTTACCTTGACCAAGTGGTCTCAGTCGGAATGGTATGCTTATATTATATTCAACATATCATTTATTGAACATATCCATGTGCAGCAGTTTATGAAATATTGACAATTAGTAACCTAAAATAAAAATGCTTTAACGAATTAGCCTATCTCTTCTTTGGAAAAGTATTTTCTTAAATTTCTAATCTACTTGGTAATTTATAGAGTCCCTATTTAAATTTTCAATAGAGACTTTTGCCAGAAAATATTGATTAATTTAATCATTAATTAATCGTGGATTAGTTTTCAGTATTTTTAAAATAATATTGCTTGCATATTCTGCTTTCAGTCTAGGATACCGTCCTTTTATGTCCAATGTCCAAAGCCAAATATCGCTATTGAATAGATTGGTGATAACTAAACAACAACAGGAACAAGAACAGATACCGGAGAGTCCTTCGCCGAGCCCGGCTCCGTCCGCTAGTAGCAATCAACGCGGTACTCTCTCCCGTTCGAGACACTCTTCAATCAGTCATGCTTCCAATACAGCTCCCCTCGAAGAGGAGCGCTCGCACGAGTCATCCTTGATCATCGAGGATTCGGCATTTCACGGAAATTACAATAATAATCTCAATGTTACGGAGGACACCAAGTCACAAAGCACTTGTGCAATCTCTTAAGGGTGCCTTACAAAGCACCGAATGCTATGGCTGTCCATTTTGCTGTGGATTTTACCAAAAGAGTTTTTTTTCCACTTAAGCATAAAGATCTTATTCAATTATATTTCTAATGTAAGAATAGCGTATATTACCTCACATAATTATTTAAAAAAAATTTAACATTTGATTAAGGCCTTGATTGTCCTCGTGTCAATTAAGGATAACTTTTGTAATGCGACAATATCATCTAAAATTGAGATTAATGTCCTTTGTCTAAAAGGTGTTTTTAAAATGATTCGAAAAAATCATGAAAATTTGTAAATAGGATTTTGAAATGTTTTCTACATTGCAGATTTTGAATTGTACAGTTTGAAAAAAACAGTGTGACTTACGTGTATTATATATATATATTTACGATATAATTGTTGAAATATACATAGTATTGTGAAGAATAAAACTTGGATGCAATATGCAAATCACAGCCGTTTTAAAACTATTGTAATGCTGTGCGCAAAAGCAGTAATTTACGAGATATGTGTGTGGACATTGGCTCATTTATTAATTCATTTAATTGTGAGCAATAGCAAATAGCAATATGAAGCCAAAAGAAATGAACAGCAGTTCAAAGGCATTAAATCAAAATTGGCGCATCAAGAGGTCTGATATTATAATATGATAATTATATAATACATAAAGAGAGAGAGAGAGAGAGAGAGTGATGAGAATTATTATATAATAAGCTATTTATACGTATTGTAACACAAGAAACATACATATATATATATAGATAATCATACAAAAAATACATGTTATATTTTCCCATACAATTTTTTGTTATTCTATCAGGTACCAGGAAATTATGTCGTCGTTAACTTAACGAACCAATCAAAAATATATAAAAATTACAGAAATAGATAAAAGCTTAAAGCAATAATCTATATAATTTCTGAGAATAATTGCACTATTTCTCAAGAATTTCATCCAAAAATTATATAATTTTTATTAAATTTTTTATTTTTAAGGTAAATTTTAGCTTGAAAAAGGAGTAAAGTCAAAAAAATCACACATAGACATACAATCTTTGTTAATCAAACTATCAAATTTTATATTATCTAATTCAAATTAGATTGAAGTGATTATATGCTTGTGTGTGCGGATGAAATTTGTTTTATTATTCCTTAAATGATATTCATTTCATTTGAATTACATTATTATTTGATGATTAATGACTAATTTGTTCGTGATACGAATGATCGATGAGTTATTAACGTTTATCGATACTAAAATGTCAGTTTTACTTGCGCGATTATTTGTATAACACATTCCAATAAGACATTTTACGCGCGAAGGACGTTTACCTCACAGATGTTTTCGTATTCAGCACATATTTTTTTCATTCGATCTATGACATCGATTATTTTCTAAAAACAACAATTTCTCAACATATGAGAAAAATCTGCCTTTATCCTGTAACACACTTAATTAAGGAAAGATAATATCATGTTGCGATTGCAAAAGAATTTTTTACAGAATCATTATTTCGCAATTTGCTGCTGGAAATTCTACGAATGAATAAATCTATAAAGCTATATATATATCTCTTACAATCTCGAATTAATATCAACTTTGAAGACGAGTATCGCGGGGAAAAATACTTTATATGGGAAAGAAAAATAAGATATACAACTCGTAGAAGCTAAATCGCGAATACTTTCGCATTCTTCTGCGAAACTTTCGTTCTTGAAACTTATCGTATAGATGAAGCACGCGCAAAATGATAAAAGCTTGTTTCCACAAATTACAAATACTCAAATCTTCTAAAGAATCATGCTGAATAATACAAAATAAGGAGAATAAAGAATATAAGAATTGTGAATGACTGCACGGTCAAAACAAATCCAAAAACGTAATAATAAGAAACGCGTAAAAACATTAAATTAAAAGAATGATCGATAATCGTTATACTGCCATTTTCGGTTTATTTTTTATAAAAAATTGAGTTGCAATTATATATATATAT